CCTTTAGCCCTGGTTTGCACTGATGCGGTGCAGAACTTGCACCAGTGTCTGTGCGATTTCCACAGTGCATCATTATCACACCCCATTTGTGCGAACCGCTGCAAGTGTGTATTTTAAGTTAACAACACCCCAAAATTGGTTTGCAAAACATGGCGTGATGTGCAGAATCGGATCACATGTGTGTGGACACCCATGCGATCCTATTCTTGTGTGGACAAAAAAAAAGGCCCTGCACTATTTTGGTGCAGATGCGATGCGATTTGATCCATACACAATGTATGGTTCAAATTGCACTGCCCAGGATTCACATGTGATTTGCACAGAAATGTAGTGCGATTCCTGTGTGAATCACATGTGATATACCGCACCACATCAGTGTGAACCCGGGCTTAAAGTAGATGTAAATGCAAACTGAATAACATTTAGTTTACAGAAGTACTGTATTTAAATTAACAAAATCTATTTTGCTAACCCCTGCCTACGTATCCCCAATGTCCCTTTAACAAAGTCTTTATGTCCTGGCGGGCATGAAGGACTGTCTTTTAATGTGATCACTATGATTGGCTGTAATAGTGGCCATATGATCAGGAACACACCCCCACATTTTAGTGTGTTAGTATGGCTGTTTTTGGTCTCCAGTTGGAGAGTGTGTGACAGGATGGCAATGAAAGTAGGAGACAGAGACAAAACATTGTCAATCTATAACAGGAAGTGCCTGAACAGATTTAGCAATATTGAAAATTTAGAATTACATAAACGTGTTAAAGGATATGTGAGATTTTAGTAAGTGGATTGAAATCTACTGTGATGCTGCCTTTCAGACTATGACAGGGCACCCAGCAAGCCACTGATGTTGATCAGTGTCCCTATACCTAGAACCTCTACACAGACATGGAGATAAAAGCCCTGACCGAACTTCACAATATACTTAAAGTGGTTCTAAACCCTGAAAGTTTTTTTACTTTAATGCATTCTGTGCATGAAGGTAAAAACCCTTCTGGGTTCAGCTCCCAACTCAGCCCCCTCCTTATACTTACCTGAGCACAATCTCAATCCAGTGATGTGCATAAGAGCTGTGGTTCTCCCAGGTCTCTCTCTTCTCATGGTTGGCACAGGCAGTTGGAGCCATTGGATGCTGCTGTCAATCACAGCCAGTGAGCCAATGAGGAAAGAGTGGGGGTCAGGGCTGAGCCACACTCAGTGTGTGAAGAGACAATGTCCATTCACAGGAGCATGGCTCGGGAACGAGCCTGTTCAAATGCCCCATAGCAAGAGGCTTGCTATTGGGGGCACTTGGCAGGGGTGGAGGAGCAAGGACCACCAGCGGGGGACCCCGAAAACCATTGAACAAAGCAGATAAGTATAACATGTATTTTTTTTATTTACAACCTTTAGAATCACTTTAACTAGTAACAAGGACAAGGCTAAAGAGCTTGTAGGAGGATCTCCATAGCACAGGTTATTGATGAAGGGTACTCAAGGCTTAGTTTAGTCCTGTATGAGACATATTAAGGGCTGTGGTCTCTATAGACCAACACTGTCTTGGCGTTATATACCTCCCCCCACACCCTCTACTCCTGCACAAAGACCATATTAAACATAGCTATGAGAGGAGGTCTCCAAGGTCTTCTCTGATGCCCGCCTCATCACCTGCCCCGTTGACCCTATCCCCTCACAACTCCTACGACCTCCCTCCCCCTCCATCCTACGCTCCCTAACCCAAATCTTTAATCTCTCCCTCTCTTCCGACGCATTCCCCTCCCCTCTGAAGCATGCACACATCACCCCCATACTTAAAAAGCCCTCCCTGGACCCCAATGACCCGAACAATCTCAGACCCATCTCCCTGCTCCCATTCACATCCAAACTCCTCAAGCGCTTAGTCTACACTCGCCTAAGCTCTCACCTCAACGACAACAACCTCCTCGATCCCCTGCAGTCCGGTTTCCGTCCCCTACACTCCACGGAAACTGCCTTACTCAAACTCTCCAACGACCTTCTAACTGCCAAAGTTAATGGCCACTATTCAGTGCTCCTACTCCTTGACCTCTCCGCGGCCTTTGACACATTCAACCACCCCCCCTCCTCCTCAAACTACATTCCCTTGGCCTCAGAGCTTCCGCTCTCCCCTGTCTCTCATCCTACCTATCTCCTGGCTCTCATCCTTCTCTTCTCCATCTACACCTCCTCCCTTGGCCAACTGATATACTCTCACGGCTTCAACTACCACCTCTATGCCGATGACACACAAATCTATCTCTCAACCCCTCGCCTCACCCCCTCAGTCTCTGCCTGAATCACAAACCTACTGAAAGACATATCAGACTGGATGTCGCTCCACTTCCTTAAACTGAACCTCTCCAAAACCGAGCTCCCAGTCTTCCCCCCAGTCCACACACCCCCCCCCCCCCCATTGACTTCTCCATCACGTCCAACAATGCCACTATCAGGCCCGCCCCGCAGGCCAGAGTACTTGGTGTCATTCTGGACTCCAACCTATCCTTCCAGCCCCAAGTCCAATCATTAACAAACTCATGCAGCCTCTACCTCCGCAACATCGCCAAAATCCGCACGTTCCTAACCCCAGAAACCACTAAACAGCTCATCCACTCACTCATCATATCACGACTCGATTACTGCAACTCCCTCCTCACTGGCCTGCCTTGCCACAGGCTATCCCCACTTCAGTCGATCCTGAATACAGCAGCCAGACTCATTCACCTTACCAACCACTCCGTTTCCGCCACCCACCTCTGCCAATCCCTCCACTGGCTTCCGATTGCGCAACGGATCAAATTCAAAATCCTAACACTGACGTACAAAGCTGTCCACCATACTGCCCCAAATTACATCACCGACCTAATATCCAAGTACCACCCAACACGCACACTCCGCTCCTCTCAAGACCTCCTTCTCTCTAGTTCCCTGGTCTCCTTCTCCCATGCCCGCCTCCAGGATTTCTCCAGGGTGTCACCCATCCTCTGGAACTCCCTGCCCCAACCCATCAGACTATCACCTACTCTCCTCTCCTTTAGGCGTACCCTGAAAACCTACCTCTTCAGGGAAGCCTACCCCACCCCCCTGCTAATTTGCCGACCTCCTCCACTCTTCCTACCACTCCATCCCCCACAGCTATCTCCTCCTGTACCACTATCTCCTCCCTCCTAGATTGTAAGCTCGAAAGAGCAGGGCCCTCGAACCCCTCGTGTATCACATTGTATTGTTACTGTACTGTCGCATGTTCTGTCCCCTTTGTAATGTACAGCGCTGAGCGAACTATTGGCGCTTTATAAATACTGTATAATAATAATAATGAGTGTATGTGTTCTGCAATACACTCTCTGCTCTGACTATTTCTGTACGAAGGTTGAAATATTCTCCTGGGTACAGACTAGTCTTGACTAGCCAAACATAAGATAATATTATTGAACAAGTCCCTACTTATGTAAGGGCTCAGCCAATAATACTACAATAATAATACAATACTCTCTGTATAGATTTATACAGATCTGAACACAGCAATATTGTATTATATGGGTCTATCCTTTCAGGCCCACATCCAATCCCTGTCCAAATCATGCCGCCTCAACCTCTGCAACATCTCCAGATTATGCCCCTTTTTAACCAATGATACCAGAAAGCTCCTAATTCACTCTCTGGTTATCTCTCACCTCGACTACTTCAACTCCCTCCTCATTGGCTTACCTTTATATAGGCTATCCCCCATCCAGTCCATCATGAATACTGCTGCCAGGCTCATCCACCTTATCAGCCGTTCAGTGTCTGCTACCCCTTTCTGCCAATCCCTCCACTGGCTTCCACTCGCCCAACGAGTAAAATTCAAAATACTTACAACAACTTACAATGCCATCTACAACTCTGTCCCCAGCTACATCACCAACCTGGTCTCGAAATATCAACCAAACCGCTCTCTTCAATCCTCCCAAGACGTTCTGCTCTCTAGTTCCTGTGTCACCTCCTCCCATGCTCGCCTCCAGGGCATCTCCTGAGCTTCTCCCATCCTATGGAACTCCCTACCCCAATCTGCCTGGCTATCTCCTAATCTATCCACCTTTAGACGATCCCTGAAAACCCTTCTCTTTAAAGAAACCTATCCTGCTTCTAACTAGTAAACTGCCTTTTATTTCTTCCATTGGCTCATTATTGTTATTATTATACAGGATTTATATAGCTCCAACAGTTTGCTCAGTGCTTTACAATATAACAGGAGACAATACAGCAACAATACAGTTCAATAGAATAGGGATAGAAGGGACCTGCTCCTTGGCGCTTCAATCTAGGAGGGAGGGGATCCTCACAACTATTACTTTTTGTATCACTCACAACTTCCTCCTAGATTGTAAGCTCTAATGAGCAGGGCCCTCTGTTTCCTCTTGTACCAAATTGTATTGTAACTGTAATGTCTACTTTCATTTTGTAAAGCGCTGCACAAACTGTTGGCGCTACAGTATATAAATCCTGTATAATACTATTGATAATTTGTCTGTATTGGTCAGCTGCAAAATTCTGCATCAGAGGACAAGTGCATGGAGTGTAATTTATGTTGCATGCATATACATGCAAATGTTTTTGCTAGTGCAAATGTACTGCATTGGCCTCCACTACTCAGGCTGTTGCTGCCACTGCTTAGAGCAGCCTTTCTCAACCAGGGTGCCCAGGCACCCTGGGGTGCCTTGAGGTTTCTTCAGGGGTGCCTTGACAAGATGTCTAAAAATTGCCCAAAACTTGTATACAAGCCAGCAGCCTTTTAGTTACACAAAGTCACAGGTTTTCATTGTGCACCATTGTGACCTTCTAGCTGCCGGCGTTCTGACAACCAATGACATCAGTTGATAAGGAGGATGTCAGCTGCCTGCACACATCCTAGTTAGACCCTCTCCCTGCCCCTCTCCATCAGTGCTGGGGTCACATTAGCTGATGGAGAAAAACTGAGGGAGAAGAGAAACAGTTAAATACTACTCAGTACCAGTGTGCAAAGGTGTGCTTTGGAAGAATAAATCACCTCTAATGTTGGGTGTCCTACAAGTGTGGATGTTGCTGTGGTATATAAAACTATTAGAATAGTTTTTCACATTTTAGAATGGGGTGCCTCGGGACTGTCCATAATTGTAAAGGGTGCCTCGGGACTGTCCATAATTTAAAGGGTGCCTTGACTGAAATAAGGTTGAGAAACACTGGCTTAGAGTCAACATATCAACAATGTGCAATCAGTGGCTCCTGTGCAGTCATTCATTCAGGGCCATGTAAACATTAATAGTATGCCGTCCAGGGTGCCGATGATTACACATTGTTGATATGTTGGCTCTATACAGTGGCAGCAGCCAACAGAGTACATTTGCACAGTATGCAAAATGTAAATATTAGCACACACTTTATATGCGTACAGTGCACAGATATGTTTTTTGAGTCTTGCTGCCAGCACATTTCACATTTCCTGTGGAAATACTTATACTTCCTGTGCATAAGCCCTAAATGAATCAATGTAATAATAAGAAAAATAGATCAGTAATTAATACCTGTATGATGATAAATAGTTTTGGCGCGATTCTCATAACACTAAACCACTCTAGCGTTGTAGATTGGTATGCATTGTAAAGGTCTGTAGTGCATGTGAACAATAGTCAGTGAAAGAGCATCCATAGTTCAGGTGCAAAGTCCTAAAGTTTAATGGATAAGTTCACCTTTTAGACAAAAATAATAAATGCACATTTTATTGCAGGTAAAAAAATGTGCATTTATTATTTTTGTCTACAGGAGCCTGGAAAGCATTGCATAAGCGAGCAGTAGATTGCTGATGCCATGCAGTTCTCCTGAAGACCTGTCAGTATATCTGCTTGCCGTACCAGTTTACGGTCAAGCAGATATTCTGAGAGGAAGCTTCAATGAACTACCACAGCGCTGTGGTAGTTCATTAAAAACTACAAGCCCACAGCCACTAAGGTTTTCAGGACCTGCAGTTCATAAATTTTTGCAAGTCCATGAATGAACGATGTGGCCGCGTGGGAGAAGCCCCACCTTGCCGCACTGTTTTCAAATTTGACAGATAGTACGGGGAAACTTCTCAAGGAGCGTGGGCGGCTGGCAGAGGCTGCGGCTTTGGGAACACGTTACATGTTCCACCCTAAAAACAGGTGGAACATGTAGCATGTTCCCAAAGGTGAACTTATCCTTTAAAGTAATCTGAAAGAAATATTGATATTGCCACTCCTTTCATTCTCTAGCAAATATCATTTAACCGACTGCTCTTCTGGAGCTCTGGCTTTAAAGCAGAACTCCAGCCAATAACCAGACAAAAATTAATATTTTGTTCAAAAGGCAAAATACCAAAACCAGCTTTTATTGCAATATTCATCTTCAGTCCAGAGATTTCTAATGCACTGCCTTTTTCTGCTGTTAGATGTCCTCTAATGGTCTCTATCATTTATCTGACTTCCTCTGAGCCCTGGTCATCCTGTACAAGCCCTAGGCTGTGACTGGACAGTGAAAGGAGGAGCAGCACAGTGCTCATGAGAGATGAGCTTATCTCTCTGTCACTTTACTTCATCTTCCCAACAGCATGCGTTTGGTCAGCACATGAACTTCTTTTCTCCTTGTTCCACTTCTTCTTTTAACACAGACCTGGGACTGCAGGAGATTGCACGAGAACAACCCCAGGTCAAACTCAGGTATTTATACTGCTTGCATTTAAAATATACATTTAATGATTACAGCGCTGAATTCATTTTTGCCTTTTTAATACTTTCTGATTCACTAACTTGGGACAAGCATGCAGCTAAGAAAATTCAGATAGTTTGTTCCAGATAATTGCATGGGCGGGGTCAACTTCACCTTTTCTTATGAAGTGCACTCACCACTGCCTCAGAACCAGGCAGAAACTACGGTTATGTGAAAAGTCTAATATTAAACCGGTTCCCCCGACTTAAAGGTGAGCTTACTCTGTGTGCAATAGAAACACAGAGTTCCTGTGAAAACATGGTGTCCCACTACACATTGTTCCTTTAGTGGTTGTTGCATTAGGAGGGATGTGCCCACTCCACCAGTTTAGTGTACCTCTGTAAGCTCACTCCAGGAACTGAATGGGGTCCCGCTTAGCACATAACACGGCCCTCATGCATGCTCAGTATTAACTCCTTCATTTTCTGTATCTTGCAACCAGGTTATGGATCTCCATAATGTGGATCCCACTCCAGTTGCTACAGGAATCTGACAGCTGGGGAGGAGGCCAGAGCAACAACCCCCTCACTACTGGAGGACCTGCTATCTTACCAGGTACCGTTTCTTAAGACTGGTTGCTTTGTGTCTCGAACTTGTGCTTGTTTACCCTTAGCAACTATGTTACTCTTTCTTGACTTGCTGAGTTACCACCCTTTTGTTTAGTGTTACTTCATACCCCATTGTGCTTTACAGACCCTGGTTCTTTAGATACATCAGAACCAACATGCACCTCTTTGTAACTTTACTGGAGAGACTTCAACATTACTGTGAAATATGAACAAGTCCAATCCCTAATCCTAACTACAGTTGTGTTGCTGCCCAGGCATAGCTTTATGAGGTGGTAGTCCATGTTGGTAATCTCCATGCTTGGATATTCTTGGGAAGCCCTGTTTCTTCAGTGGACTGCAAGGCACAGCAGTCTCTCTCCTTGAGTCAAGTCAAGAGCGGGAAAAGGGACCTCTGGACGTGAGCCTTCCCCCTTTTTATATCATATGACGTCCTCCCAGAGTTTTGCGCCTCACATGCATCCCACAGGCTGCACTCTGGCTGTGTCCGACCAGTCACAGCTGATGACATTTCACTATACCGGCCTGCTGCCAGTGTCATGTGATCTGCTGTGACCAATCACAGCAGATCACATGACAGTTGTAAACAATGAATGGCTTCCTTTGATGTCATTCATTGCTTACAACTTTGCTGCTAGCTGTAATTGGTCACAGTGGTCACGTGCAGACTGGGCTAATCACAGCCATCTATAGCTTTTGATCAGCTGTGGGGAATCACAGCTGATCACAACAAAAACTACTGAATGAATCAGTTTCATTCAGTAAAAATTCTTACTTATACCAATGGTATTCATTGGTGTAAGCAATCATAATTTGTAAAAAAAAAAAAAGTAGTAGTTACTATGGTACCCACTGCTGCACCAGTTATTTGATGGCACTATACTGCATTGGTGACCAGTGGCGTCCCGAGGCAGGTGCGGGGGGTGCAGTCCGCAATGGGTGACACCGACCCCACGGGGAGACACCGGACCCGCTCCACAAAAAGGTAAGTTGTAAAGAAAGCCAACGATAACCGCAGGATGGATCGGATCTGTGGATTGAGCATAATGGATCAGAGTCCGATCCATTACGCTCAATCCGCAGATCCGATCCATTCTGCGGGGATCGTCGGCGGGGGTGTCACCAAGTGTTACCGCACCTGTTGACACCAACCCTAGGGACGCCTCTATTGGTGACAGTATGTAAAAAAAAAGAAAAATTGTGAAAATTTTGGGGTTGTTTTTCAGTTCTTCATTTTCCACAAAATTATGATGACAAAAAATGCCAACTTCAAAAAACTTGCCATGCCTCTTACTAAATTACTTCAGGCTGTTTTACTTCGAAAAGTGGTCATTTGGGGGGTATTTGTACTGTCCTAGCATTTGTGGGCTTCCAGAAATGAGGCTGTCAGTACATCAGGATTTAGATTTTAAGAAATATACCATAGTTTGTGGACTATAACTTTCCTACTAACTAAATAATAAACACTGATTTGGGTTATTTTCACCCAAAAAATGTAGCAGAATACATTTTGGCCTACATTTGTGCAGAAAGAATTTTTATTTACAAAATTTTATAACAGAAATGAAAAAAAAAACACATTTATTTTCAGAATTCTTGTCCTTTTTTTCATTTATAGTGCAAAAAATAAAAACCCAGTAGTGATTAAATCCCATCAAAAGAAATCTCTATTTGTGTGAAAACAATGATAAAAACTTCATATGGGTACAGTGTTGCATGGCCGCGCAATTCTCATTCAAAGTGCGACAGTGCTGAAAGGTGAAAATTGGCCTGGGCAGAAAGGGGGTAAAAGTGCCCTGGTAGGCAAGGGGTTAAACACTGACAAGGGTGCTTACAATGATCAGTTTTATCCATGTAAAATCTTTATCGTAAAATGAAAAACGCTGTTTGCGGTAAATGCTTATGAAGTATTAGCTGGTGTTTGGCTTCAGTTTCTTAGTGTATTTAAATCTGCTAGTATATCTAACACTACCCTCCCCCCAGACTGAAAATGCTGCTGTCCAAAGGCACTCCCTGTGCTCCTTCGTGCAGAGTGGGGGCACTCTAATACAGGAGGTGTGTTACTGGCTAGATCACCAGGGGAAAATAGAGGGAAAAAAGACTAAAAAAAAAACGAATGCATCCACCACATCTAAGGATTGTTAAACTGTAAATATATTACATGTTTGGTTTTGGGTTTAAAGTGATTCTATGCATGTAATTAAAAAACCTTCTGTGTGTAGCAGCCCCCCCAGCCCCTCCTAACACTTACCTGAGTGCCGTCTAGTGATGTTCACAAGAGCCTTGTTTTGTTTTATTGTATGTCCAGAAAGTCAGTGTAGGTGGAGCAATATGTAAATTGGGGTGGGGCATCAATTGTGGGTGCGGCTCAGAGTTAAAAAAATATTTGCGCCAAAAAGTGGATGTGGCTTATATTATTGTAAATGTTGGGCATGGCTTAAAGGGGGTGTGGTTAAATAGAGTCTGAGATTTTCTTGGGCTCCAACATACATTTTTCCCCCCCCCCCCCCCCCCCCCCCCCCCCCCCCCCCCCACCCCCCCCCCTACCCACACCCTGCACCCCCCCAACCCCCCCCCAACCCCCCCCCCCCCCCCCCCCCCCCCCCCCCCCCCCCCCCCCCCCCCCCCCCCCCCCCCCCCCCCCCCCCCCCCCCCCCCCCCCCCCCCCCCCCCCCCCCCCCCCCCCCCCCCCCCCCCCCCCCCCCCCCCCCCCCCCCCCCCCCCCCCCCCCCCCCCCCCCCCCCCCCCCCCCCCCCCCCCCCCCCCCCCCCCCCCCCCCCCCACCCCCCCCCCCCCCCCCCCCCCCCCCCCCCCCCCCCCCCCCCCCCCCCCCCCCCCCCCCCCCCCCCCCCCCCCCCCCCCCTATGTGAACCCAACACCCCCCAAACCCCCCCCCCCCCCAATAACCCAACCACCACCCCCCAGTTAAGAACCAGACCCCCCACCAACCCCCCCCCAAATTCAACCACTCCTCCCACAAAAC